AATGGCAAACATGAGCTACCAGCTTTTGGAAAAGCTTGGAAATTTGAAAAACAGACGTTTATTAAAAGCAAAAGCCGTTCGTTGTTCAGTGGTTCCGAACGGGACCTCGAGACAATTAAACCATCAGCCCATTGGTATAACGTGTTCCAAAATCACTCTGTGATTGTGGTTTGATGTGAGACCTCGAAAGCAATTTATGGCAGGGTACAGCAAGAGGATGGGCGAACGACGGTAGTACTACGATCCCTCTTCCATTCCGGAAACCTTTCAGTAGAACCTCCCCCCCCCCCTTTCCCCTTTCTATCTAACATATTCCAAAGTCCCCCAAATTCCAAGAATTTGGCTACTCTTCCCAGAAAACAACCTGGAGTTGAGCTGAGAATAGTAGCTGTATGGTAGATCTGCAGCGCCTAACTGAAGAGAGACTCGGAAGAACTTCTTTAGACCCAGATACGACTCTCTCAAATGAATGCGATTCCTCTCCAGTGACTAAGTACGGCCCCGTGATCAGATACCCAACGATGCTGTACCCTGAATGGATGCGTTGGGTGGGAGGTGGGGCTCACCAACCATCATTGGTGGAAGGCCATCAGCGCGCTGGCGGGTATGACCCCTTGTACTAGAGGTGCTTGATCTGTTACGCGCCTTTACGCCTATGCACCCATTGCCTTCAGTTAGAAGAAAGGGGAGACGGACAAGAGAATCGTAATTTGCCGCTTAGTCGCGCGCGGCAATGGGCGCGACGTTTCCTCAATTTACTACCCTTTCGATTGGAGCATCGGATTTCATGTAGACAAGGACATGGTAGACACTTATGTCTATTTTTGGTCATACATTGTCTATTCTCGACCAATACCACCTAAAATCGTCGTCATTAGCGGCGCGACGTCGCACGCGACGCCCACTGGCGCGGCGAATTACGATTCTCTTGCCACATACCCAGAAGAAGAAAGGGAAGCAGAGCTGTGATCGGCAAAAATTTGAAATGACAGAGTCACAGGAACTTTCAGTTATTCTTCCCAACAAACCTAAGAAAAGCATCATTTACGCTTCTTCATATCAGCACTGGAACTCAATTATTTTACATTAAAAAATTACTGGAAAAAGCTTATTACGACCTGCTTGAGAACTCCTGGCGTAGACAGCTTAGAAATGTCTGGAAAGACATACATGTGCGTAAAAGAGTCAATTGCAAGAACGGGGAGGTCCTGCAAAAGAATTTAATAGACCACAATATGCGGTTTTATAAAAATTTCAAATTTCCACGAAGAACAATAGAAGAACACCTTCCACGTCGTCGCATTCGCTCGCCCCCTGACTTTCAGAACGCGCGCCACGCGATTGAGTTCTATTCAGAATCATGCTAACACTTTGAAAACGATTTAGTCTATAGAACGACTAGCAGAGAGGTGGAGGGGGTTACAATTACTGCAGTGATGCCGAGAGTCAGCGCAAATCTGTACCACGGTCTCTTGGGAATGCTTGGTTGAACCTGGCAAAGTTGAGCAGGGAATGGCAGGCAGACGAGCTCTGATCCTGGTGAGCGGTGCCACCACATCTTTTCACTGCCTTCAGCTAATCCGCAAAAATACTCCGGTAACTTTGAAAACCACAAAAAAACTGTTTGTTCTGGAGCTATTAAGATTCTTTGGTCACGGCGACAAAAATGATGTTTAGCCTACTGAGAGCCCGAATAAGGTCCCGTTCCAGTTAGCGGATATCGTAGTTTCAGGCAGCGAGAGGATAAAAAACACGAAGTCTCAAGAAAGTTGTTTTTGTGCAAGCTCCTTCCCTCAAATCATGTTTTAAAGCAGCGTCGTGTCCTCACTGCACAAAGGAATCGCAATCAAACTCCTTAAAACAAAAAGAACGATTCTTGTGAACGCGTGAAACTTTTATGGTCCTGTTTTGCCCCTAGGATACTTTGGAAGTTGGAGAAGGGGTGAGAGCAAGGGTTTGCGCTCAGTACGCTCTCGGTCTTAAGAGCAAGGTTGCACGCCGCCCCCATTGAGCAAATTTTTCACCTGCTGAAGGCGGTCAACCGGCGATCGGTACAGCACTATGGCGCCTGTTAAGTGGTGGTCGTTACCGAACCGTCTTGATGTAGAAAGATTGTATCTACCAAAGCTGGTCTCTGCAAGTCTCTGTTCAAATTGCATTCGAATTCCTCACAGTACACAATTACCGTTACATTTTAAAGTGTGGGATAACCCAAAAGATATCTTCAGCGAGAAATGCCCCAGAGCGCAGTTCGGCGACCGGGGGAGAGCATTTTGAACTTTCATTATGCCGTAACCAGTTCCGTTTACAAGCCGCACTGTGGTGTACCTGCTAAACTCTGTGAAGCTGCGAGCGAGGATCGTTAGCCATATTGGTAAAATCGTCAACTTCAACCCGGAAGAGGCCTGTCTAGATACGGTGAACACGTCGATGGCGAATTAGCAGAACTGCAAAAATCGCCCCCCCCCCCTCCGTTGAACTGCGCCGTGCCCTAGTTAACAAACTTTGGTCCATTACAATCCTTTACCTTGTAGGTTTTGCCAAGGTGTTGAAGCGGATGAGCAAACATGTAGGCGTCAGCTAACAAAGGATTGATTGTCATACGTGTACCGTACAGCTCACGAAACCACCTAAACTATAGCCTGCTGTAGAAAAATCAGCTCCATGGCAGAGGAAGCTTGCAACATTTCTTGAATTTTTGTAAATTTTACGGGTACAATTGATCCGAAGTCATATATTCATGCGGTATTTTCTTTTTTTTTATACAGTTCTCAAACATAGAAAGCGGCCTCCTGGTGCTGCACTGCCTTCTGTACCACTACACCAGAGCCTCCGGTTCACATGTGGCTGCGAGGGTTGCATGGGAAAACACACACGTCGATGGGCGCGCGCGGTTTCTGACGCCGAGGCACTCGGAGGAAGGAGCAACGGGCGACACCATGCGCCTGGGAGGCGGGCATTTTTGTTGTGAGCTAGTCAGGTCACGGCGCGTAAGCCGCATGATTTGCATTACCGTATCCGTTGCTGTCCGGCGTCCACCACTAACCCTACTCATGGGTCCCAGCTTTCTCAACTTCTGAATCCTATAAAAACGAACCCTCTTTTTGGCGAGCCAAGTATGACCCCTCCTTGAGGATTCCTCAGGGGCTGCTCGAATTTAGATGAGCCAATAGTCGTCGCTCCACCCTACCTTCCTTGTGACGCTAGAAAACCCAACTGCGCCGAGGGTGTCAGCCTCCTCTCCCCGTATCTCTCGGGCTTGTGATTGTGAGTGCAGTGGCTTTTGGCTGATGCCGGTCTAGGCGGGTACAGCGCGTGCATAAGATATCTCAGACAGCACAAGGATGGTACCCTCTAACACCTCACATGAAAGACGGACCACTTTCTACAGATGCTCAACAAGAGCCGACTTCGTGGACACGCGCTCAGCTGTTATATGTACCCCTCCTGAAATGAATCAAAAGAATTTATCTCACCGCATCAGTGAACATCTTATCCTCATCTTTCTTTTCTGGATCACGGAAAAAGAGGTAAGGAAAGGCAGACCCTCGTCAGTGCAAGGCCCTTCAACGTTTCCGAAGCCGTGAACTTCGCTGGAACTTAACTTATTCCAAAATAGACAAATTGTAAATTAACAATTAATTAAATTAATTAATTAAAATTATTGAAATTAATAAAATGAAAAATAAATATTTGAAAACTCTGCTAATAATCTCACAAGGGACACAGGATTAGTTCCTTGGGAAATTAGGCCCAGACAAGAGTAACAGACAAAAGTGTAGCTGGAGACACATATATGTTGAGACAATAAAGCAATGATGGAATGCATTAGGGTAAGGCTTACGATATCAAAACCATCGATCGCGTCGATACGCCGCAACTGAAGCGCTGCCGCTCGTCGAGGTCTGGAACGCATGCCTAAACGAAAATCGGTAGACATGAAGACGATGGCAATCCTGATATCAAGCAATTTCAAGCCGCGAAAAGTTGGGACAGCCTTCCTGTCGTGGCCCTCGACGCTGGTCTATTTCAGGCGGCTTCTGTAAAGGATGAAATGATAACGCCTTCCTTTGATTAATCCCTGGGACGCGGCACGCATTCTACTCCCTGGCAGAACCACAATAGCTCACTTAGCCTATAGAATGAATGCGGCAGCGATGCACAAGTCAATGTTCTTATCCTCTCAGGCATCCCAATTTGCCCGTTTGCGAAGGGTAGAGGGCTGGGCACGCCTATCTAGGATTTGGTACCCTGGCCGTGCACGCGTGCACTTTCGCTACCATCACCCACCTCGCCAAGCCGGCGTCTGCCCGTCAATCAATTCGCGCGTGTATGTCACTTTTCCCGTTTGCGAAAATCATTACGGATCATAACGTCGCAGCCGAGGTGCCTCATGGATGGATGAGTGATCGCATCGGTGGTTAATGATGGAGAGGGATAGACAGTCGCACACCGTCGGTCATCAAACTCCTTGAATGGTTCTAGTAATAACCACTCCACTCGTTCTTGTTGTAATCCTGAGTAATCCATTGGATCCTTCTACGCCAGGATACGTTTTCGTTTTTCGCCTAGACTTTGCTTTTACTATTTTGACCGTAGAAAGTTGTCCTGGCGTTTGTTTGAGACATGCGAGATCCGGACAGGATGCAGCTGTGATGCCTCAGTCATCATAATGTGCTCCTCTGGCGAATGGGGCAGCGTTCCACACCTTTGATCGCCGACGAATTTCGAATTTCCGGAACATTCTTTTGCTTTTGTAATGAATGGCTAAGCTCGAAAAAATGTGGACTTTTTGGGTAAAAGTGATGAGCGTAAACGGGTCATACAGATATTCAGACGGCTCGATTGCCCTGGACGGAATTCCACTCACGAAAGACGCATGTGCGAGACGCCACCCAAAGTTGCTATCTCTGCAAAGGATTGAGTATGTGTCGCGGTGTGGATTGGGGAGCGGCTAGGGCAAATTTTCCACCAATGCGCCTCCGTTACCCGCCCTATCGCTTGTTCTTTCAACCTTATTGCACCAATGGTGCCATCCTGAGCCCGCTACAGTTGGTGACGAATCGGCCTGGATGCGCTCCAAGCCTGGCCTTCATTACGCGCCCTATCGCTGCAGCAATCATGACCACATCTCATGATTAGGTTTACTTCTTTCTTGTGAGAATGAGCCAAAGGGTTCCAGGCTTCCAATTCTGATCAGTGGTTACTCTGGTTACGATAATTTTTCAAATTAGCCAAATTTTAAGAAGTCTATGAACCACATGGCATGCTGGCCCATGAGTAGCTCACCGAACAACAGGAATACACTTGTCGCTGATCCAGTCCTTGAGGTACGTATAGTTCTGGGGACTTCCCACAAACTGAAACCTTTTCTTATATTTTGTCTCAACATGTAGCATGAGCTTTGTCAAGTAAGGAAAAGGAAATGAAAGAAAAGGAGGAAAAACCACAGTTTCCTCGCTGCGGATGCTGGAGCGTGTCAGAAAGGCTCGGTCTGGCGCTGTCCAACCCTGTTCACCAATTGTGGTTGATTGCCAGCTCGAACAACTGGTGGAGAACGCGCTGGTCTTTCCCCAAACCCAGCCCCTCTACGCCGCAGCGTTTGCAGTGAACAAGGCTGCACTCAGCTATTTCTCTCTCACTAAGAAACAGAGCTACCGGGGACACTGTTGGAGGAGAACTGAACTTTAGACGTAATAGTACGAGACGTGAACTCGTGTGTATGTTGTGGAGTCCCACAAGCGAAGTTATGGCGATTCCTCGGGGGAGGGAGAGAGAGGTAGGAGTCCTCCTTTACTACACTGACACCGTAGTCTTGGAGAGTCTCTGTCAGACCATCCTTTTGTTCCTGTTACCGTAGTACTCTTGTTTTTACTGCCGCCGACTCTCTGTAGAGAGAGAAGGGTGATGATAGAAAAGTGCTTCCATTTCTGTTTTTCTTATTCCGAAGACAATGCTCCTTTGGTACGTTCACCCTTCCTCATCCCCCATCATATCCACCACCTGCCTGAGCTTTTTCAACTTTTCAGCCCATTTTCCCGAAGCTGTTTCCGAAAGATCTTCCTCCCTTCCCCAGCAAGCTACCAGTCCAGGGAGGGAGGTCGAGCGGAGGTAGGGAAACACCCGTAAAGCGGAGGGAACTGTTCCGAGTAGTATACGCCCCCTCTTTAGCGACCACATAGGACCTTCTCCAATTTACAACGCCCTAATGCGACTTGAATCCTGTTCAGTACAAAAAGGAGAATGATTGCTTCCTGAGCCTTCTGCTAAGCCTATACCTTCTGGCATAAAGCTCGGCGTTTCTGTGATTACATCGCAGACTTTGGAAGGAAAAGTTTCAGACAACATTAGCTAACTGAGATATTCCCTATGTGCCATTACCAGCTAAAATGGCATTCTCATGTCTTTACCTCAGATTCGTGCCCGTCATCTGCGGCTTTAAACGTGATACGGACTTGTGATAAATTGTTCGAGATTTCGTCAGTAGGCACCCAAAAGTCACAGTATTCACGAAGAAGAAGAGCAATATTCTGAAATTGATCAAATTCGTTGGCACTATCGTTAAATCTTGGCAGGCACATGTTTAAGGCTGCGTTCACACTTTGCGGCGGCGTCCATCAGCGACCGTCTGCGTCCGCAAGTGGTTCGAGCGTCCGCCAGCGTCAGCGAGAAGGAAAGTATAGACATCAATAAAGCGAACGGCAGCGTCTGCTAGCGTCTACCAAGGTCTACCAGCGCCCACCAGCGACCAGGAGCAGGCAGTAATACGGTGCGGTTGCACACAACTCCACGTCTGATCCAGCTGTCTACTTCCTACTACCGTCTCATACTCTACCAGCGCAGACTGCTACCTCTTACTTCCCCGTTATCTCTATTCCTCGCAGCAGCTGGACGCTGGTGAACGCTGGTAGACGCTGCCAGACCGACATCTATACTTTTCTAGACGCTGACGGACGCTCGAACCGTAATGGACGCTGGCGGACGCTGGTGGTCGCGGCGGAGGTTGCCGCAAAATATGAACCAGCCTCATTACGCCGCATTCGTGGCAGCACCACACCTCGACGTTGAAGCGAGGAATTTCTACGAAAAAAGATGTGAGGAGGTAGACAGTTGCGTAGAGAGGTAGAGACAGAAAGTCTGCGCTCTCTCTTGCATACAGTGTTACACTTTTACCTGAGCGGGCAAGTGTCTACCTAACAGAGTTCATAAATAACTCAGTGGACACATCTTCCCCTCCCCCTTCCCCCCCCCTTTCCCACACTCTGAACGCCGAGATAGGGCTGCACGTTAGTTGCACAACCCACATGGATGTTTCTGTAAGCCTCGCCATCTTTGCGAATGTAAGCGATTACATTCCCTTTCGTTTGGTCCATATCTCGCCGGAAGGACTCATCAGCAAAGATTTTAACAGTAGATGTGTAGTGCTCAATAACGTACTGCCTCAGATAGTTGACTTCTCGCGATCCCCTGGAAAAAAAAACTTTTTCGGAACCAAAGCAATAATTCTCGGTGCAATTTGAACCTAATTTTTCTGTACTCGTAACCTTGATGAAGTTCACCGTGCAGTCAACATTCAATCAGAATCACTGACGCCAAGAGACCGGTTCATTTTCGGATTGAGTTGAGGCATGGATCAGGATATACGGAACAATTGCAAGACCGCGAAGACCTGCGCGTTCCAGTGCACAAGAGGCGGCGACGAGGACAAAGGCCGCACTTGGGTTCCAGAAGTGCGCAAAGCCGCGAAAGTCTGGGAGAAGTTCGTAGTACCCGTTCGCTGAATGCTGGGGGGGGGAGGCATGATTAAGAAAGAAGCATTGTATTCAGCTCACCAGTTGTGGAATTCGCAGGCGACCACAGTGGGTGAAGAGCACGCTGACGCCGCGCCAAACTCAGCCGTCATGAGGCGCCAACGTCCGCAGCAGGCAGGTATGAGACACACTTAGAAGTTTGTGGCTTTGGAACAGGATATGGGGACAGGAGGGTTACAAAAGGTTTACTCCGATGTGGTCAGAGACAAATTTCGAAAGTTTATGATCCCAACGCTCCAGATTGGTTGGTGGTCCAGTTCAGCGATTACGGCAGTGTGGGCTGTCTATCGGTATCGATTACTCTTACTGAATTTTGTGCAGGCAGTGAGAGATGTAGTTGTAAAGGATTTAGTTAAGATTGCCCAGACAATTTCCTCCAAAATCTTGGTCGTGCACCCCGTGAACAAGGTGAACCCTTTGCTCAAACGCAACCTCGTGGTACGGCAGCATGAAACCGGGACTGGAAAGTCGCACTGTCCGCGAACGGCGCGACCTCATGAGGTCATGATAGAATCGCCCGTCTCCCGTGTGAGGGTGCACAAAGGTGGGCTACATGTTCAAGCAAATGCAGGAGTCCACTTTCGATAAGAATCGTATCGATCGACCAGAAAGGTTGCTTTTCCAAGAGACCCAAGGAAAAGTGGATATTTTACTCCAGTTCAGATTACTGTATTGCCCTTTACCATTAGCCATCAGGGCATCTCGTGCGCTGGTTGATTCCACCGAGTGGGAGGGGGCGTACTTGGTAGCTGGAGGGGGCGAACGGGTGTCGTTGGTCTTTCATGAGAGAAATACTTCCGGTTGCTGACGATTGCTCTCCCGTTTTCAAGCGCGCTATGTACCTCCCCCTCCTCGCACCGGTGAACCTTTTGAATAAAAGCAATGTAAAGTAAAAAAGAAAAGCTGGAGGTGTCTTTGAACAAAATGATAAGCTACATGAGAGGTGGGCGAGGGCTCGCACCAGAGCGGGAATTTTGGAAGGAGGGAGTATTCTCCAAGAAATCCCCCCAACTACTGATCACTCGAAGTTATCCTCGACGGTCGTCGTCAAACTGGTTTATCAAAGTATGAACAAGAAACCAACCTGTATTCATGAAGCAGCATATCACCAAAGACGAATAATTTCATGGTCGGATATTTGGTTATAAAGAAACGCTCGCAGATATCTTTCTGAAAAGGAAGACATTGTAAAAGTAAAATATCATTTAATCTCATTTGACTCGGGCATCTAAAATCCTCGTAGAAATTCGAACATATCACGAGGCGTCCCTGATGGACCGACTACTTCTTGATGATCCATTCCTTATTAACGAGGGAAGTCAACTTTGAATATCTAGGCGCTGTTCGGCTTGAAGGGAGCACCAAATGGTGCTGAATGAGGCTTATACAAATCATCTTGAAAAGAATTGTAAATTCTCCTTACTACAAGCTCCCACAAGAGATCACAGGAAATTCTGCAGTCCTCACAAGAGATCACAGGTCCCACCAAAATGAGACCTGTTAGTTGACATGATCTAACAAAAGGAACTAGGGGAAAAAGCAAAATGTCCTCCCCTCCTTCCGAACAGTGCCAAAATTCTAACTCTTTTCGCGTGTCAATACTAGTACTAAAATTAATATCAAAGCAAATGTGTATAATGGCAGAACGTGAAGGTATTGATGAACAACATCTGCAAACCTTTCTACAATTCAGGACCTTTGTTCAACTTATGTGAGTTACTTCTCACTCACTGGTGTGAATGGGCAAGAGACAGGACTTCAAATTATGTGAGTTACTTCTCACTCACTGGTGTGAATGGGCAAGAGACAGAGAGGTGCCAAGCGACCCCTCTTCCTAAAGGCAGAATTCGCGATCAGCTAGCGAGAATTCGTTGGTATCGGGGTAGTAATAGAAGTGTACGTGCTAGTTAACTTGCTTGCGAGTAGAGGTAACAGCAGGAAACGCTTAAAACCACGCTTTCCCTGAGATAAGGCGAGAAAAAAAATCGATGAGGTTCTCGGGCGAGAGGCCAGACAAGAGCGGCGAGAGAGCACGCAAGCGCAAGGCAAGCAATAACACATCTACCAATGTGGGCGGAGTCACTGATTTTTGGCGGAGTCACTTGTACAACCTTGTGCCTTACCGCCGCTACCTTACAACTTTCTGACGCGGAACTTGGGCAAGGTTTTTCGATAAGGTTTTCGTTGTTTGCCCTTGAAAGAGCTCACAATTAGATACGTACGGCGCCTTCCATTTCTCCTCCTGCACAACTAGCTCGCCCCATTCTACCTACCATTTCCCTAAATCCTCCCCCTCTCCCAGCGCCAACGACCAAGTGCGACCCCACCCCACCGCCCCTGATGGGATTCTCCCGTCGATGCTGTACCTTGGAAAGGAAGTATACATAACGATGAAACACATATCCTCGTCCACAATTGGGAGTGTAATTCCGGGACAGTAGGTCCATTCCATCAAAGCTTAGCTGCAAATTGTACAGTATCCATGATTACAAGTCGTACGT